TAGAAAGGGGATGGTAGGACAGAGATGCATGGAATGGGAATGGGGGGCACTTTAACTGGGGAGGGAAGAGGAATTATATAAAATGGAGTTATTGCACATGGGCTGATAATGCTTTCAAGAGCCATAGACTACAAAAAAAAATTAGTGCCAGCCATAGAAAACCTCCCTTCAAGTTGTTGGTCAGGAGCCAGGAGACTACCCACAAAACAAAGGCTATTGCTGTTGCCCTAGGTTGCCTCCCATACTTGGTGGATTTTCCCTGTGATAAATATGTAATGTCCTTCCTGATCTCTTTTGATTGTTTTTAGTTTGAAGTCTATTTTATTAGATATTAGGATAGCTACACCAGCTTGCTTCTTAAGTCCATTTGATTGGAAAGCCTTTTCCCAGCCTTTTACTCTGAAGTAGTGTCTGTCTTTGAGGTTGAGGTGTGTTTCTTGTATGCAGCAGAAGGGTGGATCCTGTTTTCGTATCCATTCTGTTAGCCTGTGTCTTTTTATAGGTGAGTTGAGACCATTGATTGAGGGATATTAATGGTCAGTGATTGTAACTCCTGTTATTTTTTTTGTGGTAGTGTTGTTTTCCTTCTTTGGTATTGGTTAGTGTGGGATTATCTATTGCCTGAGTTTTTCATGAGTGTGTCTAATTTCCTTAGGTTGGATTTTTCCTTCTAGTGCTTCCTGTAGGGCTGGATTTGTGGATAGGTATTGTTTAAATCTGGTTTTATCATGGAATATTTTGTTTACTCCGTCTATGGTGATTGAGAGTTTTGCTGGGTGTAATAGTCTGGGTTGGCATCTGTGGTCTCTTAGTGTCAGCATAATGTTTGTCCAGGACCTTCTAGCTTTCATATTCTCTATTGAGAAGTCTGTGTTATTCTGATGGGTCTGCCTTTATGTTACTTGGCCTTTTCCCTTTCGGCTCTTAATATTTTTCTTTATTCTTTATGTTTAGTGGTTTCATTATTATGTGGTGAGGGGACTATTTTTTTTTTTTTTTTGGATCCGGCCTATTTGGTGTTCTGTAAGCTTCTATCTTCATAGGTATTTCTTTCTTTAGGTTGGGAAAGTTTTCTTTTATGTTTTTGTTGAATATATTTTCTGTGCCTTTGAATTGATATTCTTCTTCTTCTATACCTATTATTCTTAGGTTTGGTCTTTTCATGGTGTCCCAAATTTCCTGGATGTTTGTGTTAATGACATTTTTTGCTTTAGTGTTTTCTTTGGCGAACGAATCTATTTTTTCTATTGTGTCTTCAATGTCAGAGATTCTCTGTTCCATCTCTTGCATTCTGTTGGTTATGCTTGCATCTGTAGTTCCTGTTTGTTTAGTCATATTTTCTATTTCCAGCATTCCCTCAGTTTGTGTCTTCTTTATTGTCTCGATTTCAACTTCTAAATCTTGAATTGTTTCCTTCATCTGTTTAATTGCTTTTTCTTGGCTTTCTTTGATTTCTTCCAATTTTTGTTTGTTTTTTCTTCCATTTCTTTTAAGGGAATTTTTCATTTCCTCTTTAAGGGAATTTTTCATTTCCTCTTTAAGGGCCTCTATCATCTTTTTAAAGTCATTTTTAGGATTGATTTCTTGTGCTTCTGCGTTAGTATGTTCAGGTCTTGCAGGTGTAGAAACACTAGGTTCTGATGTTGTCATATAGGTTTTTATGTTGTTGCCTATATATTGCACTAGCTTCTATCTACTCATCTCTTCCTCTGCTTGGTGCAGGCAGTGTCTGTGTCTGAGGGTGCCTCTCTTGTTCCAATTGGTATTCTTGGTCCACTGGGAGTTTTTGGTCAAATCGTTGCTGATGGGCTCTGTTTCTCCAGGAGCAGCTTAGTCCAATTGGTGTTAATGGGTTGTGTCTCAGGGAGCAGTTGTTCCCAATCAGTGCAGGGTGGGCTTATGGCTCCGCTGGTTGTTGGTGTCACATGGGATGGTTTTCTTGGCGAGGGGCAGGGAAAGAGGCCGTTGTCTGGTCCCTGGGGCTCCACTGGCAGGGACCAGGCAGCTGCTAGAGGGGCTAGAGATCTGGTCTGCCAGACGGGAGATAGGGCCTTACCTGTTCCCAGTCAAAGTAGGGTGGGCTTATGACACTGGTGACCCGGTCTGGTGGCTGGACGGCTCCTTCTCTTGTGTTCTTGGGTCGTGCTCTGCCAACTCCTCAGCTGATCTTGTTTCCTCAGACTGCAGGCTTCTGAGACCTCTTCCTAATTGCCTTGCATCTTCTAGGTGATCTGTATGCAGGTTGCACTTAAAGAATGAAGGATTCACTTGACACCCTCTTCTGACTTAGTGTGCCAGGGTCACACAGCACCTCCCATACTTGAAAGAAAGCCTGTTGCCAGAGACACCACATGCTTTGACATAAGATTTAGAGTAATGGAGCTGCAACTGACCTGGAAGCCTCCTCCCTAAGGACTGGTTCTTAACATACTGGAAGGTGCAATGAGATCTGTCAAGGGACAAACACAATCAACAGTCCTACCCAGGTATAAAGCCTATGACTACAAAAATGATGGGCCTAGGAAAACACCCACAACTGTGGAATAGTGGGGATATCTTTAAGGGTAATCAATAACTTTCTATTTGGACTTAATTGTCCAATCAGCCTGCTCAATAGGCGGGAATGCATGCTTGCTACTGTAAACCTGCCAACTACCTGTTGTTGGAGACGTCACAGAACCTAGAGAATCTACTATTGCCATTTTCCCAAACCAACATTATTTCTAACTGTATTCTAAATACTTATCCACAATCTATTATCACCACTTTACTAGAGCAGCATAACTACTTAACTTTCTAAATCTTATCCTTATACCTAGAGATAAATCTAGCTACGACCTTTCATCAGAAAAGCCTGTCTTTACAGTAAATGGAGACCATCACAGAAAACCACAACTGGATACAATGCAAAGATCAATGGATTGTGGCAAGCTCAGTCCCAATGGATACATCTACATCACAGCTCTTGCATGTATGACTCAGAGAAGATAGAGGAAGACGGGGCAGAAATATTTAAGAGCCAGTGTGGTGATATTTTGTTTGTGATCTAATCAATAAAGCTTACCTGAAGATCAGAGTGTAGAGCTAGGCCACTAGTTAGCCATAGAGGCCAGGCAGTGGTGGCACACACCTTTAATCCCAGCACTTGGGAGGAAGCAGGAAGTTCAGGAGTTCAAGGCCACCCTGGGCTATACAAGATTGATCCAGTCTAAAAGAGAAACACAGCCAGGGAGTGGTGGCACATACCTTTAATCCCAGCACTAGGTAGGTGGACACAGGAAGTGATATGGCTGGACAGAGAGAGGACTATCAGGTGGGAGGATACAGGAGCTCAGTCTTTCAGGCTGAGAAGTTCTCTGAGGTAAGAGGTGGTAGTTGTGGCTTGCTTCTTTTTCTCTCTGATCTTTCAGCATTTACCCCTATATCTGACTCCGGGTTTTTATTATTCAGACCAAATAAGATTCATGCTATAAGCCAGGACACTAAGAAGTCTACTATGAAACAATCTCTCTTAGAAATGACTGGATAAATAAGACTGAAATGAATGGCAATATCAATGGACATGCCAAACATGGAAGGGAGAAATTTTTGAGGGGTCCCATCCCTAGACAAATAACTATAGGCAACTAATGACTACTGGCAGAAAAATTTAGCCTCTCTCTGTGATGAGCTTCTATATTGATTGGTGTAGTATTTGAGTAAGAACGATTAATTACCAGGGAGTGGCACTATTTGAGAAGAATTATGCTATGGGATGATCCTTCTGTACACTGTTTATAAGTATTACTGTCATTGGTTAATAATAAAGATGATCTGTAGCTGGAAAGCTTTTCTCTCTGGGTTCCACCAAGTCCTGCCAGTCCCGGAGCCCACTTATAAAATAAACACACAGATGCTTACATTATTTAAACTGCTTGGCCATTAGCTCAGGCCTATCATTGTCTAGCTCTTACTCTTTTCTATTAATCTATACTTTACTGGTACCTTACATCTTGCTTGTCCTGGCAGTAGCTCTAGGCAGTCTCCCTCTCTGCCTTCCTGTTCCCTCAATTCTTCTCTCTGTTAGTACATACTTCCTGTCTGGCTACCAGCCAGTCAGTGTTTATTTATACAGAGCGATATCCACAGCACTGATCAACCTCCAGCAAGGCAGGATAAAGTTAGGTGGACAATCAAACTGAGGACTGGGAGGAAGAAGGGGGAGTCAGGAGAGACCCAAGCAAGCAGCCCAAGAAGCAAGACACCAGAGGATCAGTAAAGCCATGGCCATATGGCAATACATAGAAATAGGTTAATTTAAATGTAAGAGCTAGTTGGTAATAAGACTGAACTACTGGCTGAGCATTCTGTAATTAATATAAGTTTTTGTGTATTTGGGACCAGGAGGTCAGGACAGAAAAGCTCCACCTCCATTTACAGGATTAGGCGGTATGGACATATTGGCCCATGCCAGGCCCAGTCTCTTCCTCTCTGCCTATAGATTAGGATGTAGAACACACAGCTACTTCTCCAGCACATATCTCCTTGGGTGCTGCTATACTCCCTGTCATGATGATAAGGACTAATCTCTGAAACTGTAAACCATCCTCCAATGAAATGCTTTGTTTTATAAGAGTTGCCTTGGTCATGGTATCTCTTCATAGCAACAGAAAAGTGACTAAGACAGTTAGCCAATGCAGAATGATGAACCCTGAAACCGTATACACACAAGCAACAAAAAGACTCAGCAGACTGTATTTATATATTTGTGCATGCACATATATACATGTATACTTGCACTTAACAGTAATAAAAGGGAGCTATCAACTTGAGGGAGTACCTATGGGAAGTAGGGGAGAGAGTACCTGAGAGAATCTGGAGAGAGGGAAGGAAAGGGGGAAAGTGATATAATTTCTTCTAATAAAATTAATAATAAATGTAAAAAGCCAACCAAACCAAAACATTACCAAAAATGAGAATTATGAGAAAAATGTTTTCAATATTAAAAACTGAGGCATTTATTTTTTAAAATACACTGATTTATTCATGTATACATTTATTTTACAAGAATATATTTACACTTTCATCAAAAACTAAAGCGTTTTTAAGAATTTTTCAAAATCTTTTACTGAAGCTTTGGCAATCTCTTTGCAGAATACTTCATCAGGAACAGATACGAACTTGTCCAAAGAGACATAGTTAGGTTTTGCTGGATCATACTGCACTTTTCCCAAGTAGGTAAGAAACAAGTGTCTTTCTTTAATTTTAAATATTCTTGTATTAAATACCTGGAAAAGAAAGGAATTTACAATAAAAAGCGGAGGGGGTAGCTCGATTGAAAGATAAATGTCTAGGAGAGGCTCTGAGTTTGAGCCCCAGCACACACGTTAAGTATTAATAGATAAGAAATTATGAGTTGAGCATAGTGGTGTTCACCTGCAATCACAGCACTTGGTAAACTGAAGCAAGAGTAGAAGGTGTAGTGGTAGCCTAGGTCGTGTAGGAAGTTCCAGAGTAAGCCTGACATATTGAGCAGAAATCCTGGGCCATAGGGCAAAAGCCCATCTTTCAGAAAAATGAAGGAGAAGAAGGTAAATTATAATTTAAGAGGGACTAAAAACCAACATAGAATGATAATGAAAGAAAGCCTTTGCTGTGCAATGGTGGCACATGCCTTGAATCCCAGCACTTGGGAGGCAGAGGCAGATGGATCTCTGTGAATTTCAGGCCAGCCTGGTCTACAGAGCTAGTTCCAGCATAGCTAGGGCAACACAGGGAAACCTTCCTTGTCTCAGGGAAGAAAAAAAAAAAAAGCCTTCAAGAAATGCAGCCAACATGATGACTCTAGAGACCCAGGAGAGCATTGGAAGAGCAAATCCTCAGGTCTCACCCCCAAACCACTTCATCTGAAACTTGGAAATGAGGCCCAGAAATCTGTTTTAACTAGCTTTTTAGATTCTAGATTATCTGCCAAGTGTGAGAACCAACATTAGAGACCAAGATCTATGTCAGCACAAAGGAACTCATCATCTGTGTAGTGTTAAAGTGTCTCTGTTTTGATCTTTAAATTCTGTTACCCAACAAGAATCAAAGTAAAATAAGGCTGCCACTTTGGGGGGGAGAGGGTAAAAAGGGAAAGCATGCCTTTTCCTATTAAAATCCCCACTGTTGAAAAGTAACTTGCTTTGAGAACAGTGACCAAAGAAAGTACATGCTGCTAACTTGGAGTGACACTGGTATGCTTCTGGAACAATCCCTTTGTGTCTCTGCACTGATGGTCATGAGGTCCACAGAAAAAGAAACATGAGACCGAATAACACGTAGCAAAAGGAGGCCTGTGTGGACTGGCATAAACCATCAGTGCTGGACTTGCAGACAAGATGCTGGATTAGAAGCCCCCATGTGATGTTATGGAGAAGAGTCAGAATAAGAAAAAAATAGACTTGACTGCAAAGAGACTGGGAGAACTACTGCTGGAAATTAACTACTACCAAGAGAGGCAGACTGGTACCCTCCAGACACACCTACAGCCTACAGATCTTCAAAACCCACTGCAGGTTTTAGTGAGACAGTGATTCCTGAACCAGTGGTAGACAGGAATCTCATTTTGTCCCTTTGTTTTCCTCTTTTGTCAAATAGGGATAATTGTTGGAAGAATAATTATAATGAGTGCATACACACAAAGCAGTGACAACTCAATAGGTATTATTATATCTATGATTTTCTCTCTCCTTCGTACCAAATCAATTGCCCCATGAGCCCTCTACTAATATGTAAGCTTACTTTAAACCTCTGCCTCTCACATTAGATTACAAGCCACGTATGACTGAGTTCTGTAATCTTAGTGCTCACACACATTCTAGCCCAGGTTAGATTGTCCATTTTATAATGAATTTCTGGACCCCACTTGTGGGATAACCTTTCTTTACACTGTAAAGATGTGTCTCTGCCTAAGTCACCTTTTGATTGGTTTAATAAAGAGCTGAACAGCCAATACCTAGGCAGGAGAAAATAGGTGGGACTTCTGGGGAGAGAAATGAATCTGAGGCAGGCAGGAGATGCCAGTGAGATGCAGAGCAAGTTGGGCATACAGAATGGGAGAGAGGTAAAAGCCATGTGGCTGAACATAGATTAATAAAAACAGGTTAATTTGAATTATAAAAACTAGTTGGGAACAAGCCTAAGCTAAAGGCCAAGGTTTCATAATTAATAATAAGTCTCTGTGTCATTACTGGGGAGCTGGTAGTCTCAAGGAAAATCCAACAAGAAAGATAGTTATATCCAATGGGAAGGTAGGAAGAGGTCAGATTCTCATATAACCCACTCTCAATTATCTAACGGTCTAGAAGACAACAAACTGTCACTGCTCTTTCATAGATTACTTATAATTATTCCATAAGCTGAAGTCCCACAATTCTAGACCTCCTATACTTTATTATAATGAGCCAGCATCATCCTATATTAAAGGGCATTCAGAGTATGATGGGCAAATACACATCACTCCATGTGAAGGAAGTGAACTACATGTAATCTAGTTTTGAGAATTATTAAGATTATATATCTTTTCATATCTCTACACCATGAACAAAGGACTTAATATTTTTAAACTTAATGGAAAAAAACCCAAGAGACTGAGTTTTTTCCTGATTCCAACAGTCAAAGGTGGGAGTAGGTAAAAGCTACAGGGGTAGAGACAAACCTCAGGAGCCCTACAGCTGTGAACTTTCTACAAATACACAGCACCACACCTGGAAGTCTGAGAGCAGGGCAAGGGCAGCTGTCTGAGAGGGCCGGGAGATGTGTTACCTGTGGGAACTTGACAATGATGTGGTGGGGAATATTCATCACATTGTGTACATAATCAAAAGTCTCCGTAAGTTTCCTTTTGTTTGCAGTTAGCATCTTTGGGATTCTGGTGACCATATGTTGAATTTCATTATGTTTAAAACCAAGTTCAAGGCGATAAACCTACAAGAAAGTAAATTCCTGGGAGTTATGAGTAGAAATGGTCTTTTGGTACTATGCTGGAGGACAAATTGATTCTTCTGAAGGTTAAAGTAATGACCTTTTAAAATTCAGGGGCATATATACCAGTATGCCTCAAGGGATTACAGTTCACTTGTTGGGGCCACCCAAATTTCAAACCCCTTATCTGAGCAAGAGCTTTTCTGCACTGATGGTCATGAGGTCCACAGAAAAAGAAACACGAGACCGAATAACATGTAGCAAAAGGAGGCCTGTGTGGATTGGCATAAACCATCAGTGCTCACTTGCAGACAAGATGCTGGATTAGAAGCCCCCATGTGATGTTATGGAGAAGAGTCAGAATAAGAAAAAAATAGACTTGACTGCAAAGAGAATGAGAGAATTACTGCTGGAAATTAACTACTACCAAGAGAGGCAGACTGGTACCCTCCAGACACACCTACAGCCTACAGATCTTCAAAACCCACTGCAGGTTTTAGTGAGACAGTGATTCCTGGGCCAGTGGTGGACAGGAATCTCACTCTGTCCATCTGCACACTGTTATGCAGGGATTGTGCCATCTTGAGTGATAACCTATTATTTGAAACTGAGATATACTGGAGGCCTGAATTTGGGGAACAACAGGGTGCTTTAATCCAATCTGCAATAGCCTCAGGGTGAGAGAATGCCTGGGGAGGTAGTTGGGGAGGCAGAAGATGAAAAGTACAGGTGGCAGGAGGCCTACATGGTGAAATGCATAGGGAAAAGTAACCCTGCCCTTGGTTGCCAGGAGCACGTTGGCCTCTGGAGGACCCATCTCCCGCTCACTGCTGTAAAGCCTGAAAATTGAAGCTTCTGTGGTGTACCTTGTAGCAGGAATCTTAGAAGTTTTTATTAATAAAATCAAACCTGTAAGCCAGGTATTGGGGTGAAGCTGGAAGATTAGAGATACAGAACAAGCCACAGCTACCTCACCTCGCCGGATCCTCAGCTGGTTTTGTCTCCTCACACTGGAGGCCTCTGAGTCCTCATCCAGAATGGGTGTCAGCTGAATTGCTGCTCAAAAGCCTGAATGCTTAACCAGCCAAATGCTTCTAGTTTCTGATCCTCACGCCTTATATACCTCTCTGCTTTCTACCACCACCTCCTGAGATTAAAGGCTCGCTTTCTGAGATTAAAGGCGTGAGTCACCATGCTTGGCTGTATCCTTGAACACATGGATTTCTGCCTCTGGAATGCTAGGATTAAAGGCATGTGCTATCACTGCCTATCTTAAGTATCTAGTGGCTTTTCTGTTCTCTGACCCCAGATAAGTTTATTAAGGTACACAATATTTTGGAGAATACAATATCACCATAGTACCTGACATCTACTGCTACATCTCTCCAGCTAGCTGAATAAAACTTAGAGAAAAGTGTGAAGACAGGTTCACTGCCTGAACAGATCTCAATGTTATGACTGCTTCCCACACTTCTAGTGAAATTGGGAGATAGGTCCAGCTGGAAAGTAGTCAACATAGGGATTATTAGCTGGGGAGTTTTCTGAGGGTAAGGGGACCTGCCCAGCTTATAGACTGCAGAGCTAAGTGAATAGAGCTATGGCGGAGCTTCCAAACAAGCTAAATCAAAACCAACACAGGAGCAAGCTATACTACTCTTCAGTCTATACATGAAGAAATTAAGTCAACATACTGCAGATACTTGCATATCCATTTTTGTTGCTGCAGTAATCACAATAGCTAAAACATGGACTCAGTCTAGATGCCTATGAACAAAGGTAATGGGTAAAGAAAATGTGGTACATATATACAACAGAATTTACTTCACCTCTGAAGAAAAATGACATTAAAGGAAAATGAGGCTGGGTGGGGGTGGCCCACACCTTTAATCCCAGCACTCAGGAGGCAAAGGCAGGTAGATCTCTTGTGAGTTTGATGCCAGTCTGGTCTACAAAGTGAGTTTGCATCAGGATGGCCAGATACACAGAGAATCCCTATCTCAAAAAACTGAAAAGAAAAAAAAAAAAAGAGTAAAATTGGAGACCACTGTGTTAAGTGAAATAAGCCACACTAAGAAAGTCAAATACCACATGATTTCTCATATACAGACTTCAGACTTAAATTTAGACATAAATTTAATATACCAGTGTAGATGCATGTAGGTCATGAAAGTAGAAAGGGGACTGTGAAGGGGTGGAAGAGATCTTAAAGGGGGAGGGAGGGGAAAAAAGAGAGCAATGGAATTCATGTTGACTTGCAGGCACAAGGGGAGCTACTTGGAGAAAGAGTACCAACAAAAGGGGTGTAAGGAGATGGGGAGGGCAGCAGAGGGGAGTGAATAAGAACAAAGTAAAATAGCACACATATAGGAAACCATGATTTTATATAACTTAAGAAAATAAAACAAAGTAAGATTTTCAAAGCAGTTTTTGAGCTTTTGCTCCCAAGCATATACACATAGTTGTCATGGAATAGAAATCCAAATTCTGGATAAAAATGATAGATGAAACGAAACATCCAAATATCATAGGTCCTCTCTATATGCTTTTGCACTCTCTGAAACTGTCATTACACCCTACCCCACCCTGGCCAATCAATCCACATCATCACTTTTGACTATACTCCTTTAAATTCTAAGAGCCATGAGAACAGGGACTCCCTCCTCAGAACAGCACCTAGGTGGGAGGTTATAATAACACTTCAATGACTGAGTATGAAATACTTCGGCATCCCAGAGAACAGGCCTTACCTAACAATTTCTACTCCTTGTGCTGTTCTGTGCAAACCACTGAACTGCTATTGGTGTCATACTACTCTTTTGAAAGAGAGACAGGAAAGTGTACTTGGCATGTTCTGTCATAGAAGTGGAGCTGACAAGTGACAACTTCACAGAAGTTTCCTTGAGTCAGCCTCTGTACTTGATACAAGGTAGAGTCATCAGAGGAAGGAGCCTCAGTTGAGGAAAGGTCTTGAGATCCAGCTCTAAGTCATTTTCTCATTTAGTGATCTGTTGAAGAATATTACTTTAACTATGTAAATATGTTACATTTGTTATGGTGTGGAATATTACTTTAACTATGTAAAGGTGCGTTCCATTTGTTTATGCTCCATTTGTTTAATTATGTAAAGATGTATTGCTTTGCCTGCCTAAGGCACTAGGTTGGTCTAATAAAAATCTGAATGGCCAGGGCCAGTGGGCAGAGAATAAATAGGAGGAGGAACCTAGGCTCAGGAGGAGAGAGAAGAGAACGAGGGAGAAGATGCCTGGGGCCAGCCAGGCAGCTCAGACAGACATGGAAGAAGCAGGAAAGTAGGACATACAGAATGAAAGAAAGGTAAAAAGCTCCAAGGCAAAACATAGATGAAGAGAAACAGGTTAAAATAAATTATAAGAGCTAGTGGGGTAAGCATAAGATAAGGCCAAGCCTTCCTTCATAACTAATAATAAGTGTCTGTGTCATGATTTGGGAACTAGCTGGTGGCCCCAAAGAAAGCCTGAAAGTGATTAAAGGGCTGCTGGTCTTGTGTTCTATAAGGTGGGCTGAGCAAGCCATGGGGAGCAAGCCATTAAGCAGTACCCCTCCATGGCCTCTACATCAGCTCCTGCCTCCAGATTCTGCCCTGTTTGAATTCCTGTCCTGACTTCCTTTGTAATGAACAGCAATGCTGATGTGTAAGCCTAATAAATACTTTTCTCCTCAACTTGCTTTTTGGTCATTGTGTTTTGTAGCAGCAACAGAAACCCTAATTAAGACAGCCTTCAACATTCTCAAAACATAAATTCTCATGATAGTCAAAAGTGGTTTGTTTCACAGAATGAAAACACAGGCCAGGAAGCACAGACATTGCCTGTCACACCAAGTAATGAAAAGCCGTTTCCAGGTCCCAATTATACCTTACTGCTTCAGGATCATGGGTCCTAATGTCTACCAGTTATTGACTTAGGTAGAGTGGGTAGGTAGCATATGCAAGACAACTGGATAAAATAAACTGTCATTTCTGTCCTTGAGAAATAACTTCTGTTAAAAATCTGTTTTTTTCTTTTTTCTTTTTGCATGATGACAACAGCAATATTTAGTCTCTTATGAAAACTTGGCCAGGTGGTGATGACGCATGTCTCTAATCCCAGCACTCAGGAGGCAGAGGCAGGACAGCCAGGATTACACACAGAAAAACCCTGTCTCGAAAAAAACCAAAAAAGAAAACTTAAGTACATAAAGAAATTAGCTTCTTATAGCTTGAAGATATGTTACCTTCATATTTTCTTTCACAGGCTCCAGACTTCCCGTCAGTAGCCTTGGAAGACGAACAACCAGATCTCTAGTCTACAGTTAAAACATAATAGTTATCATCACTATACATGCACATTTAACTAGCTTGGAAAACTAAGGCATTACAAGGAATACCAAGCTAAAATTTAAAATATGACCCAATTAAATAACAGAAAGCTTGGAAATATGTATGAACTTAACATTATTTGATGAGAAATCCAACATGGAAACAGAATTTAAGGAAGCTATTTGATAGTCTATTATAAAGTGGTGGAGCCTCTTTTTTAATCTATCAGGCTTACTCATTTTTGTACACAGAGTATCATGCATTTACAGGATCTGCGTGGGTCAGGCACTTAGAAACATGACACTTAAAGGTTACTAAAAGAGGGAATACATTTCCTTACACTTTTTTCTTTTTTACCTTCTTCGTACTCAGTTCAAGTTCTTTCTGAAAAAATCCCAGTCTGTTATCCAGTCTTTCCACCGAGAAGCTCAAGAGAAATGGTGCCTGTCTGACCATCCGTGCGATATCTGCATTACTGAAATGTTTTGACTGTAGATAAGCTACTCTGGAGAAATAATAAAAAACAAACATATGCATGATAAACACTTCCTAGAGCAATAAAGCATATTATGTTACTTTCTGAAGTAATATCTAAAATTTTTTTGAGGCTTTGAGTACATACAGGAGTACTATTATTTACATAATTTCTATCCCTACCCTACTCCTGTGTCCCGCCCTCATCTCTTTACAATTTTTACTTTTACACATATATATTCACAATATGTATATATTAATAGAAACTTCTGAGTCTACTCAGGGCTAAAGTAACATTTTTTTTAAAGGATTCTATAACTTCTCCATAAAAAAGATCAGTAAAAGTACTCTGTAAGCTGGGTAGTAGTGGTGCATGACTTTATCCCAGTACAGATAGGTGGATCCCTGAGTTTCAGGCAAGCCTGGTCTACAGAGTGAGATCCAGGACAGCCAGGGCTACACAGAGCAACTGTCTCAAAAACGTCACCCTTCCCCCCACAAAAAAAACCTCTGTAATAGCTAAAATATGGGTACATTTTCAGGAGAAGCACCTGATACATGTTTTACTGGTTTCCATTTACTTTGAATCAGAAAACAATTCTAATATACTTCTGGGTAGATCTTTAAATTAAACAAATCATTATTATATGCATATCATGGGAGTCAGGGGACATGCACATGCCTTGGTGAACAAGTGGAATTCAGAGGGCAATCTTAGGGGTTGGCCCTAGCCTTCCACCTTGTTTTGGGACAAGATCTCCTATTGTTCATGGCCACATAAGCCAGTTTAGCTATGGTCTGAGCTCAGAAGATTATACTCTCTGCCTCCCATCACCAAAAGCCTGCTGAGATGGCATCTGGCTTTTTGTGAGTTCTGGGGAGTCCACACTCTAGTCTTCTCACATTTGGATGGCAAGCACTTTATCCACTGAGCCATCTGTTTCCAGCCAAAATTTTTGGTTTTGAGACAGGGTCTTATTACCTACCCCAGGCTGCCCTTGACCTTTTCATTTTCTGGGCTTAGTTTCCCAAGTGCTGGAATTACAGGTATGCATTTCCATACCTCACACAAAACAATATATATTTATATAAACTATATGCAGTTTATTCATTTGGAAATTCTACAAAGGACTTGCAATTTTACACTCTAAGTTATCTGCATTGAAAAGAAAATGAGTACATAAAATTGGTGCTATTATGGATATTGTAGAAAATAAGCCTGCTATATCTAGCAAAGACAAAACCCAAGTTTTAATTAAATATTTTTATATTCTTGCATATTCAGTAGAAACTCAGTTTATCATATACCTTTTTGAGTCTATACAGATAAAATATCTACAAAGATTCTAATAAACATTTCTCTAGAAGTCAAGAGCATGTGGTGACTTGAACAAGAAACTTGGCTTCCTTCAAACAGGTTTCTTTCACAGAATTAAATGTAGGAAGATGCTATGTACAGTAAGTATCAAGACTCTGGAGTTTGGCCAACTTAGTTGGGATCCTAGCTCTGCCATTTATACTGTGTATCTTGGTTAAATAACAAACTTTCTATACCTCATGCAATAATTACGGTGAAACCTCTCAAGTGATTCCCACTGCCTGACATTCATGCTTTCCTAGAATAAATCTGGACTAATGAGGTGCACTGGCTTTTAAATGAAGGAATCTGTACCTGAAGCCAGGATGCTGGGTCTGAGTTTCTTAGAATCACTCTTTCCCTGTGTCACATGATAGTTTGTATTATAGGACTCTATAAATCTCATGATGAGACAGCATCAGTCTTTTAAGTCTGATGCCTGGTCCAGCACCTTAACTATGTAAGATGGTGATATAAGAAATGCAGATTATTGAGTTTCATTTTTTTCCCTTCATTTTTTCCCCTAAGTCACAGAAAAGGAATTAGTGTATTAGCCAAGGAACTGCCAAGCCCTTAGCAGATCAATCCCAATGTGGAGAACAATCTACAGCAGTGGTTCTCAACCTGTGGGTTGAAATCTCTTTGGGAAAGGGTCAAAAGACCCTTCCACAGGGGTGGCATATCAAATATTTACATTATGAATCATAACAGTAGCAAAATTACAGTTATGGAGTAGTAATGAAAATAATTTTATGGTTGGGGATGACAACATAAGGAACCATATTACATGGTAAGAATTAGGAAGGTTGAAAACCACTGGTCTATAGGGATTGGAACTGGGCAATAAGAGACAAGTGTGATCTTGGCAGGACCAGAGACAAAGTATCCTAGGCAGAGATTGAGAGAAATGTGTAGGCAGAAGTTTCTGTGTCCAGCCAGCAACTCCCAAATAGCCGGCAGCCACTTCCCAAATAATTGACTCTGAGGCTTATTATTTATGAATGCTCAGCTGGTTACTCAGGCTTATTACTAACTAGCTCCTGTGCTTAAATTAATCCATAATTCTTATCTATGTTTAGCCATGTGGCTTGGTACCTTTTCTCAATATGACATTCTTATCTTGCTTCCTCTGTGTCTGGCTGGCGACTCCTGACTCCACCCTTCATTTTCTCAGCATTCTTAGTTTGGTCGCCCTGCCTACACTTCCTACCTGGCTACTGGCCAATCAGCGTTTTATTAAACCAATTCGAGTGACAAATCTTTACAGTGTACAGGAAAATTATTCCATAGCAGAAATGTCCAACTGATGTGACAGGTGATTGAGGTTGAACTGAGGGGTCTTGGTGTTTCACTGGAGGTGGATTATTGTAGAATATTATTTTAAGGTGTGTTATTTTTGTTTATGTTGCATTTGTTTAACTCTGAGAAGCTGTGTTACTATGCCTGTCTAAAACACCTTGACTGGTTTAATAAAGAAGTGGATAACCAATAGCAAAGCAGGAGAGAGAGACGGGCTGGGCTGGCAGGCAGAGACAATATATAGGAGAAATCTGAGAGGAGGGGAAGAAAAAGATGGAGGAGTGAAGGAAGAAGTAGCCAGAGAAGTAGGAAGACTCCAGGGGCTAGCCACCCAGATACACAGCAAGACATGGAGTAAGAGTAAGATTTACAGAAGAGAATGTGAAAAGCCGTGAGGCAAAAGGTAGATGGGATAATTTAAATAAAGGAGAGCTGGCAAGAAACAAGCCAAGCTAAGGCTAGGCATTTGTAAGTAAAAATAAGCCTCCATATGTGATTTATTTGGGAGCTCGGTGGTGGACCCCCAAAAAAGCAAGAGTAAAATCCCCCAAATAACAACAATGGATGCCAAAAGTTATGAGTGATAGTTGTGATTTGGGTAATAAGGTAAATAGAATAGTACTTCCACTCAGTGTGTCTGAGAATACACACCAACACATGGGAGACAAATGGTGAAATGAGAGTTAACCTAAGAACAGGGTCCTGTCTTGCTCTGTTATTCTTAATGTCTAACACATTAACATCTTATAGTAAATGTTTCCACAGATTAATAACTCTTTGATGAATGAAGTGCAAAGATGTTTATAAATGTTCTATTTAAAGAAACGATCATCAACTAATCTTGATTGTCAACTTGACTACACCTGGAATCAATTAAACCCAAGTTGTTGGATGCACCTGTGAGGGATTTTTCTTAATCAGGTTATTTGAGGGGTGAAGACCTACCTTAAATCCAGGTCACACCTTCTGGTGGCAGCCTGTAGTGCAAATTCTAATAGGTCTTAACAATAAAAATCCTGAGTCAGATATAGGGGTAAATGCTGAAAGATCAGAGAGACAAAGGAGCAAGCCACAGCCACTTCTTACCTCACCAACTCCTCAGCATGAAAAGGGCCTAGCTCCTGTCTCTGCCTCGCCTTATCACTTCCTCTCTCCACCCAGCCATATCACGTTTTTGTTTCCTCCTCCCAAGTGCTGAGATTAGTGTTGTATGCCACCACTGCCTGGCCTCTATGGTTAGAGTGGCTAGCTCTGCCCTCTGATCTCCAGGCAAGCTTTATTTGTTAGAGTACAAACAAAATATCACAGCACCCACATAAAAAGACCTCCAAGAAGGAAGCTTTTGGTTTTCGTCTGTTACCTTCAGTCTAGTTGACAAGAAGTTCATTTATTGTGTTGCTTTGGCTTTCCTTTGATGATATCAGTACCAACTTCTTGGGGTTTCTAACATATACTGAGGACCACCTACACGCCAGGAATTCTTTGAGGTTCAGCAGCAGTCTAGGTCTGCTGAGACTGAACAACTAGAGCATTCTTGGCCTTTTGGTCATGAGGCAATCATTGTTGAACTAGCTGAATTACAGCCTGTAATCCATTCTAATAAATATATATTAAAAGGCTACCAGTTTTCTTCTTTAGAGAACCATGACTACAACAGTGGGAATAACCTTCCAATTTACAGAAAAGTATATTATAAACAATTTGTTCAAAGAATGCTAAATGTCTCCTATCAAAAATCAGAAATGCAGCCAGGTGGTGGTGGTGGTGGTGGTGGTGGTGGTGCACACCTTTAATCCCAGCACTCGGGAGGCAGAGGCAGGCAGATCTCTGTGAGTTCAAGGCCAGCCTGGGCTACCGAGTGAGTTCCAGGAAAGGCACAAAGCTACACAGAGAAACCCTATCTTGAAAAACCAAAAAAAAAAAAAAAAGAATTAGAAATGCTGGGTATTGTGGCACATATCTATAATTCTAGTACTTAGCAAGCAAAAGTAGGAGGGTTATGAGTTCAAGGCCAGTCAGGGCTACATAGTGAGATCATATCTCCAAATATGAAAAAGTACAGAAAAACAGTAACAATCTGCCCGACTTCTAAGTCTGCTTTTAGATAATTCAACTTCTTGTTAATAGAAACTTAAGAGAAAAATTTCCAGGTTCTGAAGAGAAATATTTCAATACTAACTTATCAATAAGTTGAAAAGAGAAATAATTGACAGTTGACAAAACAAATACTTAAAATATTCTATTTAGATTAAAAGTCCACAGCTAGAAGAACCATTCATACTCACTCAGCAGATCCTTGAATAGCAGACTAGAAAATTTCTCACACATACATAAGTAATTCTTCCATAAGCACTTCTTAGGTTATGTGGGAATCATTTCAAACTTTACCTTGTCTTAAGATTTTCAAGGTCTTCAGAGAAAATAGTATAATTTTTTGTCAGGAATGGTCCCAGGTGGTTATCTTCTAAACCCAAATCTTTAAGAAATAGGAGTATTTGCTTAATGTCCTTTTCAAAATCCAGTCTTAGAAGGAGGTTGGCTACATCTGGATGTCTTTCTATCTTAGACAAATCCACTCCTATAACAAATGAAAAGGATTAGTTAGAACTCAATTTGCTATTCAGCCATTAATTTCATACAGGAAAAAGTACTGACAATAATCTATTTAAGGGAGAAATGACATAGACAAATGGAAACTTAAGGTATTTTTAAATAAAACTGTTTGCAGAAATAAATTTAAATCAATAATACTATTTATGTCAAAGGTCAATGTAGAGAGGAAGACAAAACATTTGTGTTTAAATTTCCAACAAAGAGAAAGCCACTAAATCACACGGACAGCTACTTGGGAGGCTGAGTCAGGAGGATCATAAGTTTGAGGCCTATTTGGGTTATACAGTGAGCTCATGATCAATGGTCAAACTTGAAGAGACAAATATTTTAAATACAAAAATTAAATTAAATTAAAAAAGGCTAGAGAGGGTGGTTCAGTAATAGAGTGCTTGTTTAGTATACATAAGACTGTAAGTTCAATCCTTAGGACCACAAAACAAAAACCCATTTTCTAAAATTATTTCTAGAGGTACTTTTATATAAGTCTTATTTATAAAAGCAATGAAATAACATTTTTACCTAAAAGTATTCACACTCAAAAAAATCATCATATTCTCTCTTTGAGTTTGAGGCCAGCCTGGTCTACAAAGTGAGTTCCAGGACAGACAGGGCTGTTAGAGAGAGAAACCCTGTCTTGAAAAACCAAATAAAATAAAATAAAAAATCATCACATTTACTCACCAATTTTAGAAACAAATGCACACCTACCCACACCACACATGGAACAGAGACCAGAAACTAAAACAATTTTTCTACACACTAGTGATGGCATTTTAATTCAGTAAGAAAAAGATAATACTATTCCATTAGAGTACAATGGGATCACTAGTTATACTAAAATGTTTTTGTGTCTGATTTCCAGATTGATTAATAATCTAAATATGTGTTAGTTCTACACACAGAAAAAAATGTAAACAAATATTAATTATGGAAAATAAAAAGCCCATGGCTAGGTTTCCATTTACTTTGTAAGAGAAAGGTTTGGAAAGTTACTCAACAAACTGATAATAGTGGTTATACTTGGGGGCAAGGGTACCTCTTGGAATAGCTGAACTTTAATCAACTACACGTAATTCTTTTGTAAGTGAAAAATAATACAAAATCAAGTGTAATTAATGAATGAATAAAAAAATGAGATGGAAGCCAGTTTCAAAAATCTATGATAAATTAGGGAAACATAGCTTTAAAATAACTGAAAAAGACTTGGACTCCAAGTGAGTTTACACATGTGGGAAGGTCTTGCTCAGTGTGAGCTGTCACACCCTGGCTGTGAGAAAATGGAAAGCTGCTTTTTAGTAGCAGTAGGAGAGCAGAATCCCATCAGGAGAGCACAAGGCTTACTTAAGTCACTCAGCTCACTCAGGATTCTACTAAAATGAAAAGCCAGACACTGGCTGCCCACTGTGGACCAGATACTTTTGCTAAGCACTGGGAATAGAAAATGAACAATATATGCTGTAACAGATATTGACATTGAATCTATTACTGTTACATATATTTAGTCATCAGTCAGATCTGCAAAGCAGTAAATATTATCCTACAGAGCTCAAATAAAAAGAAATGTAAGACAGTGGCATGAGCAGAACTAAGTGGACACACAAAGGCTATCTAGCAGTAGAGATAAGGAGACCAAGCCTTTTCCGGAGCTCAGAGGGAACTGTAAACTATTAGGGAAGTGCTGCAAGATAGGAGCTGTTGCCATGGAATGAGCAGTTATAGGACATGGAGAATGAAGAAATGACCTGACCTGGCCCTTCTGGCCTTTATGCTGCTCTGGCAGAAGCTGCCTAGAAGCCAGGTAGCATAGGAGCCTCTGTGCACAGGACTGGCTTCCTGGGATATAGAACAATCAGAGAAAAGAGGAAAACAAACAGAGGAGGACCACAGCTTTATTACTAAAAACAGTGACAAGCACCAATGGACCCTCTTAGTTACTGCCATTTACAGTTACTTCTAAGACACGCTGTTGAGGTTATTAGCACATACAAAAAAGAATATCTGAAAGCTCTAAGTATACTGTAAATTATTTATAGGTCTGGACCATGTTGATCCTTTATCACCCTGAGTAACTGCTGTAGGCTAGGGAAGCTGCTCTGGAAGGAAAGGTAACTTACTCTTCTGCTCAAAGCAGGTATCAGATGTCATCTCTCACCTCTGAACTTACTACAGAAAGTCTTTTAAGCTGTGTACATTCTGAGGTTCAACAGATGTTTAAGGTATATCTACACTGTTTAATGATTAAACAAAGCTAATTAACCTATCACCACATGTACCATTTTGTGGATACTTAAAACACACTTAGAACTAAGTATGGAAACTCAATACCCTCCCACCATCATCTCCCTATGGTCACCTCCGCTACCCCAAACCACTATTCTTCTCTCTCTGCTTCTAATGTGACATGCCTTTGTATGCAAGTCCTCGAAGTCCTGTTGGAAATGACAGTACTTCACTCTCGCTACTGGTGACTAGTATAGCATTGTGTATATGTGCAGCACACTTCCTTTAACCATTCGTTAACTTATGGATGCTTGGGTTAATGAAAGAGCCTTTATTTGTATTTCTCATTTTGGACTTCTCATTTTACCTCCATCTTCATCTTCCAGTTCTTCTCAAATAGGTATTTGTAATCCTGACTAGCCTAGAATTCACTACATAGACCAGGATGGCCTTGATCTCAGAGATCCACTATTGGTTTAAGTATTAAGGCAACTCCATGTAGTTAAAAGGGAGGTTTATTTTGTGGGGTAACTTACAAGTGAAGGGATAGGTAACGGTCTGGGAAAGTGAAGTGCAGTCCAGCGGTGTTCTCTGGAGAATTCTGTTCGGTCTACCTCCAGTGTCCAGGATCCAGAAACCAAGAGAGCCGGCCCATTGGGATCTTGGGTCTTCAGGGGTCCTCTCTTGGCTCCGCCTTGTAGGCATGACAGTTACCGAAGCCTTAATGGGGGTGGTACTTCCAGGTCAAAGCTGGACCCACTACATCCCACCTATCTCTGGCTCCACATACAGGGATTCAATGCCTAGCCTCACATGAAGCTTCGTGAGAACACAAGCCATTTCCTACACATTTGGGTAACATCTGGCTAACTAGGTCCCAAACAAGAGTGAAACATTACCATATACTGTCATTAGTGCAGGCATAAAAGCAGGCAGAGTGGAACTCAGAAGGGTCACTCAGATGGTAGGGCCAGAGAACACATATCTATGGTGATATTTTAATTATGCTTAAATGTGGTGATATTTTATCTGTGCTTTGATAAATAAAGCCTGCCTAGAGATCAGGGGAAAAGGCCAGACATTTTAAGTAAACAAAGTCAGGCAGCACACACCCTTAATCTGATCACTTAGCAGGTAGGGTCTCTGTGTGTTCAAGGCCTAGGCAACAGAGCCAAGCATGGTGACACACACCTTTAATTCCAGTACCAACCATAGAGACCTGGAGGTCGGTACAGACAGTGACAAGGGAGCTGGGCTAAGAGCCAATGAGAGGGCAGAAAAGCAAGGCATATAAAGGTGTAGGTAGACAGGAAGTAGCTTGCATTTGGAAGCTGCATTGGTGAGGTAGTGTTGGCTGGTGGCTCTTCCTATTTCCCTGATCTTCAAGGTTCTCACTCCTATATTTGGCTCCGTGTTTTTTATTTAATAAGACCATTTAGAAATCCGTCTACACATATCAGAAGCTGCTTGAACTTGAGATAAGTTCTCCAAGAGTGAAGTAGGCAAGAGGAGAGGCTGACAAAATGAGCAGGATGAAAGCAGGGAGAACTCTAAGGCCTTGGAAGGCTTTGAAGATTTGAAGCAGTTAACCAGTGCTCTCAATTGCCAATTTAGAGGGAACACTACAGGGAGTTTTCAGGGCCAATACAGTGAATAGAAAGTTATCAAGTTAGGGGCTGGAGTTAGGCTCAGGAAGTATAGTGTTTGCCTTGTAAACATGGGGACTTAAGTTTGATCCCCAGAAGCCACATTTAAAAACACCCAGCAAGGTGGTGTGCACTTGTAATCCCAGCACTGGGTAAGTGGAGACAGATACATCTCCAGGGCTCACTGGCCAGTCAGTTTAGCCTATTTGCAAGTCCAAACCAAGGAAAGAACCTGGCTTTTGGCCACATTTACACACACACACACACACACACACACACACACACACACACACACACACAAACACAAACTCGCACACAGGATTACCAAAGTAGGAGGTGTCTACCTGATAATTCAGTGACAAATGAGTTCTAAAGAAGGGTAACTACAGGATAAGAGCAAACTTGGGACATGGACTTGTAGCTTAAAGTCCTCCTGTGTCCACCCAGCTCCTGTATCCTCCTGGTCCTGCAGCCTCTCAGACCCAAATGAACACAGCTTATATTAATTATGAACTGTATGGCCTATTGGCTCAGGCTTCTCACTAGCTAGACCTTACATCTTAAATTAACCCATTTTTATAAATACTTTACCACATGGCTCATGGCTTACCGGTATCATTACAACTGGCTTCTCATGGTGGCGGCTGGTCTCCCTGCCTTGTTCCTGTCTCTCTCTGAATTTCCTGCCTGCCTTTAAGCTGCCTTGCCATAGGCCAAACAGCTTTATTTATCAACCAATCAGAGCAACACATATTCGCAGCATACAGAAAGATTCCCCATCAGGACTATGGAGGATAAGGTTCTGAACAGATGCTAAGGAAGGAGGAAGGAAAGAAACAAGGACAACCCTTAAGGGTTGTCCAGAGATGGCATGGCACAGGTATTCTTTTCCCTTTTCTGATAAACAAAACAGCTCTCCAAGACATGAGGAATGAGAAACAAAAGGGAGCATCTTTGGTGAAACAAGATTTATCTATATCCCCCAAACATAACCTATAAAAACAGACTTATCAGAGAGAATAAGAAACTGAAAGGCCCACAAATAGGAATTCTAATGAAAGATGCCAGTATGTGAAACACTGAAAGTTTTAGAATTTGGACTTTTTGGGTTTTGGATGATCAACTGTAAAGTCTATGCAAATATGTTGAAAAATATGAAAAAGCCTCAAATCTCAAACACTCCTGGTTCCAGGTATTTTGGATAAGGAGAGGTTGTGTGAATGAAAATGACCCCCACTGGCTCATAGGGAGTAGCATTATTAGGAGGTGTGGCCTTGTTGGAGTAAGTGAGGCACTAGGGGTGGGCTTTGAGGTTTCAAATGTTCAAGCTAGGCCTAGCGTGACTCCCTCTTCCTACTACCCGTGGATCCACATGTAGAACTCTCAGCTCCTCTCCTGCACCATGTCTGCCTGCATTCTGCTAGGCTTCCAGCCCTAATTAAACGTTTTCCTTTATAAGAGGTGCTGTAGTCATTGTGTCTCTTCACAGCAATAGGAACCCTAACTAAGACAATATTTAACACCCATTAAACAACAACAACAACCAGAAATTGGAGTCCCTAGAGATTAAGAGGTGCAAGATGAAGTAAAAACTAAAAACGGGGAACTATGTATGGCTATATGTGGAAACTTTGATTCCTCCATCTCTTACCTATCCAATTCCTCTTAACTCCCCAGGGTCATTACTGAGAAAATCAAGTCGAAGTGCCAAACCAGACTCAAGGAAGACAGGTTCAACAAGGTTGCTAGGACCAAAGGAAAAGTGTGCAATGAACAGCTCTAGCTGCCTTTAATTACCTAGATTCAAGGATAATGTACTAGCCAGCATATTGTTATGCAGGCTGAGAGAACAATATAGATGAGGTCAGTGGGTTCCAGGAGGAAGTTTAGGAATAATATCGCAGAGAGCAGTGCACCATGGGTCAACAAACTAATACATCACAGGCTGACTGGCAGGTTAGAAACTTACCAAGCTGCACTAGCTGCTGCAGAGTCTTGGAATGATCTACGTAGTCTCCAAGTGTGAAGGAGGATAGGGGCAACAGAGGGTGTGCAACAATCTGAATAGCTTCCTCCTCTGAAATTGGTTGTATTGGAGACAATGGAGGTAAGTCATCCAGTTCTTTGCAGGGAGTCATGAGGAAAAAGAGAGGCAAGTTAGCACTGTCACGCACATTTGGAAAATTATTTCTATAAAGGGGCTATAAAAATGGCTCAGTGGTCAAGAGTACGTATTGCTCTTGCAGTTTGGATCCCAGCACCTACATCAGGAAGCTAACAATCCTATAACTTCAGTTCTAGGACCTACCATCTTGTGGACTCCATGGGCACTAATACTCACATGTACACCCACATATACGTATGCGTAATTAAAAATGAAATACACCTTAAAAAGAAAACAACCCAAAAATTCCATAAATATTATATCTTCTTTAGTTTGTGTTTTTCACTGGTTAAGTACTAAGGTCATTTCAGAATTAGATGCTTATGAAGTCTAAGCATAGAATAATGGTCCATACCTGTAATCCCAGCATTCCACTGGGCAGGCTGAGAAAGGAGAATTACAGCAAGTTTGAAGCCAGCATGGCCTAATAGTGGCAACCCACACACCACAAAGGTCTAAAAATATCCTAAGATTTAAGAGTACCCAGAGGGACTATTCTCTCTTCAAGGTAAGAAGTTCGTTGGTAAAGTTCAAGGCATTCAATCCATTTTTTGAGACAGTGAACACAACCCAGGCAATCCTCCTGCCTCAGCTTCCTAAATGCTAGAAATGCAGGTATGAGTCACCTTGTCTGGGTAAGGTACAAAACTACTTCTCTACACTTTTCATCAACAAGTAAGAATGTTAAAGGTCTACTGCTCTTCAACCACATTCTGAGAGACATGGCTTGTGAACATGGCCAAAAGTATGACTTTTTTAAGTACCCCAAATCCACATTCTAAAGTTATGATACCCCGAATTTATTCATTTTCATCCAATGCCCTCCTCTGCAAATTCTCTTAAGAGAATTTCTATGTTCCTACCATCTGCAATCCTTTGCCAATCCTCTATTCAGCCCTGATATGTAGTTCTTCGCTGTTGTTTTTTTTTTTTTTTTTTTTGGTTTTTCGAGACAGGGTTTCTCTGTGTAGCTTTGCGCCTTTCCTGGAACTCACTTGGTAGCCCAGGCTGGCCTCGAACTCACAGAGATCCGCCTGCCTCTGCCTCCCGAGTGCTGGGATTAAAGGCGTGCGCCACCACCGCCCGGCTCGCTGTTGTTTTAATACGATTGGTATGAAAGATATTTGAAATTGTAACTTTAAGGACCCCAGACTATGATCTCTTATTGTTTTACCTTATTAACAATTCTTTCTCATTTTTCACAGCCAGCTTCTCCTCCCTGCCTCCCCTTTTAGCAATCATTCACATTTCCTAGTGGAGTATTATCATACCTGTGGCATAACAATGTATTCCCATATCAAGAGGCATGGAAAAAAAGAGGGTAGACCATACAGCAATCCAAGGGAAATTTGAAGTGTAACTCACTGTTCCCATTTGGTAATTATTACACAATAAATATATTTCAAAACTGTATACTCCAAAGATAAGTATCAATTAAACCCTAATATTTCTAATTAATGCCAAAAGGACACTTTTCAAAAGAAGCTACAAAATCAAATATGTAGAAAGCAAATGTTTTATACATTTAGCTATAAAATAATCTGACACAAATTAACCTAGGAACTTATTAAAATAAAAGTTTAATAGAATTAAATGAATACAACCGACATTGTTCCTTTTCCTGTCTGGTACAAAATAGGACATGAAATGGATGAGTATTGTCTAAATATATAGCATGATCAAAACTAGCCCTGAAAAGGGGACTTTACTCAATGTCCAGAATTACCTTCAAGAGGCAGCTCAGAGTCAAAACTGGGTATCCTGTCTGGCTTTTCACTCACTGAAGGAAGCAGAGTGCTTTGCACAGAACTGCTCTCTTGTCCATTGGATTTGGCAGAATGGAAACTATTCCAAGATAAGGAAGTTCTATAAGTCTTAATTCCACACTGGAGTAAGCAATTGTCAGAGGACAACAGAACCTGAGATGAGAAGCCACTTGACAATGTTTTTGCTGGTCTTGCAGAGTGTTTTGTGATTTGTGCAGGTTTAATGAAGCTACTCAGTTTAATTGAGTTGAACCATCTGGGTATCTGTTGGGCTAATAGGGCCATTTTTTTCTTAGTCTACAAAAGAAAAACAAAATCATCAAAAGAAGAAAGATTAACTTACTCAAATGTTTAAAATTGCAGTCAAATAGCAAATAAATAGATAATAAATTACTTCCTAAAATAAAGAATTTAAATAAATATGTCCAGGGTAGGCAAATGTTTCTTATATATGAAAAGCCACAAGCAAAAGCAATCTCAGCTACCAATCAAAAACAGAGACTTATGAACTGGAAAAACAAAGATATGCCTTACAATTTAAAAACAAAACAAAGAATCACTTTAAACCAAACAAGTCTGTAAATGCTCAAATTACAACAGACCCAAATCAACTGTTAATTTGCTCTTCACAAGGAAACTGTAACAGTGATAAAATGAAATGTTCTTGGAACTTGGTTTGAAGTCTACATAGGAAATATATTGCAGATTATAATGCTGAATTATTAAAATGTATTTTATACATATAAGTTAGTCACAAAGTAAACAAAAAGAAATACTCTTGGGGAATATTATTTTAAGGTGTGTTACTTTTGTTTATGTTGCATTTGTTTAACTCTGTGAAGCTGTGTTACTGTGCCTGTCTACAACACCTGATGGTCTAATAAAGAGCTGAACGGCCAATAGCAAGGCAGGAGAAAGAATAGGCAGGGCTGGCAGGCAGAGAGAATATATAGAAGGAGAACTCTGGGAGGAAGAAGCAGCCAGAGAAGGAGGAGGAACTCCAGGGGCCAGCCACCCAGATACACAGCAAGCAACAGAGTAAGAGTAAGATTTACAGAAGTAAGAGAAAGGAAAAAGCCCAGAGCCAAAAAAGGTAGATGGGTTAATTTAAGTTAAGGAAAGCTGGCAAGAAACAAGCCAAGCTAAGGCTGAGCATTTATAATTAAGAATAAGCCGGGCAGTGGTGGCACACGCCTTTAATCCCAGCACTCGGGAGGCAGAGGCAGGGGATCACTGTGAATTCGAGGCCAGCCTGGTTTCTAAAGCAAGTTCCAGGAAAGGCGCAAAGCTACACAGAGAAACCCTGTCTCAAAAAAACCAAAATAAGCCTCTGTGTGTGATTTATTTGGGAGCTGGGTGGTGAGTCCCCAAAACAGTACAAAGAGTAAGAAAACAAACAACAACAAAACCCACTGTTTTAAATGAGTCATAAATAATATTGCTAAATAGAGCACTGAAACTGTTGACTGATCTGATATCCAGTCATCAAAAGAGACTTGAACAAAGGTGGTTTGGTAAAACCCTGCTGCAATAAAAAGAACAGCTTTCAAACAGAAAGGGTCAAAATAAGGAGCAGCTGGGCATGGTAGTGAATGCCTCCTGTAACCCTCTCTTGGGACACAGAGAAAGCATTACAAGTTTAAGGCAAGCCAGAACAATGTATTTGAGGCTGTTAAAAAAAGAAAAAAAAAAGGACAAAATCCAAACAAGTAACAAACCAACTCCAAAACCAAAACAACAGAAACAAAGAAGTGACCAGCAATACTTAAATATTAATTAAGATAATACATATAAAAGTATGGGGGGGGGGTCATACCTGTAATCCTAGTACTCAGTAGCCTAAGGCAGGATTGCTCAAAGTTCAAGGTTAGCATGAGCTACAAATGTGAGACAGATTCAAATAAATAAATGAGAAAGGCTCAATAAATTTTATCCATAATTACCAACTAGACAGACAAAAAATGTTCACTATGAGTTAACTCTTGCTTATGCCTCTGTATTTTCTATGTACAGTGGAATTCAGCCTTTTTTATGCCCTGAATGGAGGGTCTAATGTCTTGGAGGTTTGTAGTTTGGGGACAATGGCTAAGAGTTATACAAGAGCAAATCTCTTTCCTTCTGAAGTGACCTGAGGAAGGATGTGTTTGTAGTAACTTTGTGGGATAGGTAACTTTTGCTAAATTTTAGTTGGAAAGGAACTTCCAAACCTGTCAAAATTTCACTCAAATTTCTTCTGGTCTCCACAGTAGTTACACCAAAGTGGTGTATGTTATGTCACATAGACAAGACCAAATTTCTAGGGAAGGTACAGTACAGCCAGGCAGGTCCTATCCACAAGTGGTCAAGGACAGCTATGAACGGTGTGGCTTTCTTAAAACATTTTCTCTCATGGGAGTTGTAACTCGACAGCCTGGTTCTTGATGTGAACTCTCGGCAACGTCAAGACTGGACATGCCATTCTAGCCCATGATGATGGAGGCCCAAAAACTGTTCTCTACATAATGCTTTTATGTGTGCTGTGTTGGAGAAAACTCACAGCTACAGTTTACCCCGGGCTACACGCTCAGCTTCAACTACGTTTCTATAAAGGTAGAGAATACAATAAAACGATTTGTCTAAGCACTTTGTGATACATTCAAACCAACTCCCAGAACCCCAACTTCACTCTGGAGTCTATCCAGAATCAAAAGCAATAACTTGCCCACAGTTAGTGGACTCACTGTTAAATTCCAGTTGTATCAAAAAATCTGAGTGCTAAAGGCTAATTTCTCCCCCTCCCCCTTTTATTTGCCACCACACTCCCTCACATGACCAGTGTCCAAACCATCTGAACAACCCGCTAAAGCAGAAGGAAAAAGCAGAGCTCCGCCCCCTCCCTGGACCCACCTTCTCAGGGACTTTTCTGCACCAAGCTAGAACCTTGAACGTCAGAGGGTTTCCAGTTTATTGAGTGGGAGTGAATACAGGTCAAGTGCAGGCACACACAGCACTCAGAAACGAGTGAAGATCTGCACTTGTGTGTAATGCCCTGCGGTGTGTACATTAGGAAGACGAAAAGAAGAAAAGGTCCTTAACATCTTTCAAGTAAATCTTAGGGGGTTCCAGTTCTCGGCTGTATCCTGTACTATTTTGTTAGGAACAGGAAAAAGAGCGGAAACAGGCTTTTCTGGGTTCAAGATCTCTACCTTTAACTAATCCTGACCTTGGGAGGTAAAAGGCGCACTTCGTAATAAAGGACCTCTAGATAGCGTGGCCGCTCTCGCGCGGGCAATTTACCCAACACTCTTTAACCAAGCGTTCAGTCAGGAGACCTTAGAGTCTCTAACAAAACTCCACAGGAAGCCAGGACACTCTCTGGGCCCCCTTCTAGTGCTGGTAAACAAGCCCTGCAGTGTTCCCATTACAAAGTTCAGGGAAGCACCCCCTCCCCGGGACACCGAGAACCTACCAAGCCGCGAGGCTCCCAGCTGCTGGCTGCAAGCAGACCGGCCTCCAACCCCGCCGGGCCGCGGCCTTGCGCTCCCGCTACACCTGAGCCAGGTCCGCGGCGGCGCAGACCGAGTGCACCGTCCGCACCGCCCGGTCGCCCAGCAAGTGCGCGATTCGCCGAGCCCGCCCCGCGCCGCTACCTACGTGGGCTGCGCTCCGAGTGGGCGAGACCATCGGCGGCGAGTGTGGAGGGGACGCCGCGGGCGGTAGGTAGTCGGGAATAACTGCCGGGGTCTTGGAGACCCTGGGGCCGATCGACGCGCTCCTTGAATCCGAGTCTCGGAGGGTCTGTAGGGAGGATGAGTGCTCCGCGACGTCGTCCTGCCAGGGCCCGCCGCCGCCAGCTTCGCTCTCCCCCCACCCCAGGCCGCGGTGGTGGCGCCGCGACCCCGCCCTCGCGCGTCGGCCCTTCCCTCTGCTAGCACCCTGCTCAGGGCGCCAGACCCAGTCCCAGCGCCAGGCGGCTAGCTACAGTACGGCGGTCCGTCACTGTCGGGGTCCCAGCCTTCGCGGGCCGGGGCCTCCGCTGCCGCGGCAGGACGGGGAGGAGGACCATGGCGTCCTGCGTGGGGAGCCGGACTCTGAGCAAGGACGATGTGAACTACAGGATGCATTTCCGCATGATCAACGAGCAGCAAGTGGAGGACATCACCATAGACTTCTTCTACCGGCCGCACACTATCACCCTGCTCAGTTTCACCATTATCAGCCTCATGTACTTCGCCTTCACCAGGTGAGGTGGGCCTGGCCGCGCGCGGGGCGCCCGAGAACAGAGGGCAGTGGTGGCAGGGAAGCTGTGGCGGGCAAGGTGGGCCGGTGTGACTGGTGGTGAGGAAGCGAGTAGCTGCTCCATGCGTGCAAGCTCATGGACACACGGCCCACGCAGCTCCTTTGCCCACCGCGTGGCTTACAATTCTCTCCGCCTACTCTTCCACCTGCTACCCCTCACCTCCAAATCCCATCTCTCACATTCGGTGCCTTGGACCACAGCAGGAGCTCATGCAGGTCACCTAGCCGGGTCACCCACATCCCTTGCTCTGCATCATTCACCACACGTCACTACCGGGACGCTCTGCTCCGCAACCACTTCATCCGTGGTCTGTTCCTAGCACACCGCATGAATCATTTCATGACTGCACCACTTTTAGGACAAACTACACACATAAAACACATCATACGCAGGCCTGGTATACAACTAGATTCCCAATGAACTCCCCTGGTATTCAGTATTTCCAGGCACACACAAACACAAGTGCATACACTGTTTTTTCCAGTGCAACACCTATTATATGCATTGCATACAATCGTCTAACATAATCTTTACTCCGTCTCAAACATCACCTCTATGCCACAGCATCAACAGTCGCTGTTGACACACATCCCAGTGGACAACTCCCATCAAGCACAGCCCAGTATCCACCAGCTCCAATGCACTGTACTGCATAGGCTACAGCTGATCACACATCACATGGGGCTGACCCCGCCCTGTCATCCATCTCCTGACATACATGCTGGAAAGAGATAATGTCGAGCAATTGTGTAGTACCTGGAGACTACTAAACCCTAACTATAATAAACAACACATAAAATGTATACAACATAACACAGCTCTCTTATTCCTCTAAAATAATATGCATATATTCAAAGCACTTCTAGTAATTGCATATGTTCATACTTTTCAAGGGTACTGTTCCTGTGGCCCCTTGACCCTAGCCAAGGAGCTAATGGATCCCAGAGCACACACACTCCATTTTTATTTATGATTTATGTTATCTGAATTACATCTTTTTAAAGAGAGGGGAGTCATATCCTACCCACCACACCATTATGGCTTCCAAGAGTGACTGAGAGAGACTGTGGTTTCAAAATTGGCTGTGGTTTTAGTGAAGTTACTTAACTTTGTTTTGAGTATGAGGGTCCATGCCTGCAGAATGAATAAAATGTTTGTATTCACTTTAGGGTTATGAAGACTAAATGAATATGTGCAAACCTGTTGAGTAGACTACCTGGCATATGACGCCCCATTAATGGTACCTTTCTTGAGTTTCCACCCCTTTCTTTTTCTTTGCGAAAGGATTAGGCAGTATAGCCTAGGCTAGCCTTGAACCCTCACTCATCTTGCCGTAGCCTAGTGTTGTGACAATAGACTTATACCACCACACCCAGCTTCTTCTGATATTTTTATCCAATAATCAAAGTCTGGGGGAAATGTGCAGAGGTAAGTTGACCAGTCACAAGTATTGAAGAAACTTCTGGTATTTAGTAGAGGAGAGGACAAAGGCATGTAATGCTACATGGGACAGTATTGTATCACAGACTAGATTGCAAATGTTTATGTTATGAATCACTTCAAAGATAGAAATAGTAGCTAACAGTTATTCTTTCTTAGGGGTGCCACTACCATCATTGAAAAGTCTACTAATATTTTGCAGATCAGAACTTCCTTCCTATAGTTCCTAGTTTTGGAGAGAACTCGCTCTTGAGACTAGTTACTGTCAGCTCATCATGTCATCTGATTTTACCACATAAGATATGCATGCTCACATAATGTGTTCAGCCCCAGTTTCCTCATCTATATGCAAAGTGAAAATATCAGTATTAACACCTCATAGGATTCAGCTCAATGCATGGCACTGAGCTAAGTGGTTAAGAAGCAGGATTTCATTGTTTGATAATGCTTTCTAAATTATATTTGTTACTGAATAGGCTATAGTTTGTTCTGGAATTGGGAAAAAAGGTAGAGGCATTGGAATATGGACTTAGTAGAACATACCTACTCGTTTCACATTAACTTCAGCTAATAGGTGAGTTTGAAATGACAGAATGGTGAGGGGGTTCTTTTGAAATGAGAAAAGCAACAATACCATCTAATGATGGTGAGAAGCAAGAATCAACCATATGTCTTTAGTATTATTGCAGATCATTTCAAAATAGATCTGTCTTTCTCCTTTCTAAGGCAGAAAGTAATGTTCTGGAATTTAATTTTATATGTCATATTCTGTCTAATGGATGCATTGTAGCAGTGAAGTGCGAAAAATGAGTGAATTTTAGCAGCTTGTCAAAGATAATTAAAAAAAAACATAATCTGAACCTTGGGCTATAGACCTTTCCAGAAGTTATAACAATTTTATTTGTTATGCTAATTTCATAAAGAAATCACAATGAGGGGCTGGAGAGATGGCTCAGCGGTTAAGAGCACTGACTGCTCTTCCAGAGGTCCTGAGTTCAATTCCCAGCAACCACATGGTGGCTCACAACCATCTGTAATGAGATCTGGTGCCCTCTTCTGGCCTGCAGTCACATATGCTGTATATATAATAAATAAATAAATAAATCTTAAAAAAAAAAAAAAAGAAATCACAATGAGGAACAAATCATACATTTTACCTTACATAAAATCAGAAGCATAATTAATAGAATCAGGAGTTACTAGTATCTATTTTTTGTAATAACTTATGATTCATGTAAATGGGATATTATAAAGATAGCTCAATTTTACTCTATGAAGATTGAAAGTCATGTTTGTTTTTTTCAAATTTTTATTTCTTTTTCTGGTGTTTTGCCTGAATGTATGTCTGTGTGAGGGTGCCAGATCCTCTGGAACTGGACTTACAGACAGGTGTGAGCTTCAGTGTGGGTACTGGGAATTGAACCCTCATCCTCTGGAAGAGCAGTGAGGTGACTCTTAAATGCCAAGCCATCTCTCCAGCCTCAAAAGTAATGGTTTCTAAAATGAAAAATTTTTACACCATGCTCTTTTGTAATGACTGTCTGTAGTGCCTTATATGAACTTATAGTTAGATAATGTTCAGTGCAATTCTCTCAATCAAACTTTTAAAATATGGCTTAATATTTGTTTTGCAAAGGCTAGTTATCTAACAGAATAGAATATTTTTTTTTGGGGGGGGGTTGTATTACCAGGATGTAAGAGTAGTGCCTGGTGAGATTATGTGCTATGAATACCCTGTACGAATTTTGGAATGTGAAGGATTTGATACCTCAAACAAAAGTCTGAGGTAAAGTTGGTTATCCAGGAGTTCTTCTGTTAGAGTTCTAGTGGGCTGAGTATTACTCAAGAGTCCTTATTGATGGGAGGTTAAGTACAGGATTGCTATTGGAAGATGGTAAAATCATTCAGAGATAGTGCCTATTGGTAGGTCCTCATGTTCACTGAGGGCATGTGCTTGGAAGGTTGCTTTTTTATACCTCACCCTGAAACTTCACTAGAAAAGTCTTACAACTAGAGGAAACCTGTTCTCTCGTCCCTACTTTAACTACAGTTATTTGACATAGTGACTTTCTAGCAGCCAAGGCTACGTAGTAAGACCCTGCCTCAAAAGCAAAACAAAACCCCCAAATTGCAATCACACATGGTTCTGCCATTGTTAACCGTGATCTGAAGGGGTGCAGTGAGTTGGCAGCCCTGTTAGAACTTGCCAACAGGAATTGTTCCTTGTCTAGATGAAATTGCCTCATTGAAAATGGCTGTACCTATGTGGTTATCTGTTCACTTGTTCTTGTTTTCTCCAGATATGGAACTAAGAGGATAGAGGATAGACAAGGGACAGAGGAGTGGACAGATGTTTGATTTGTTTTTAAGTAATGGTTTTTACTTAATTTCCTTTTAGAAAGTATACTTTTTCATTTTTCCTTGAACCATATTTCTAGCTCTCTCTCTGAGTCTAGGGGTTTCTCCCAGCCTTCCTGATTTTTCCCTCAAGACCATATAAAGACCCACTAGAAAATGCCTCCCAATACTACCAATGAGGTTGTCTTGGTTCTGCTTTCCTATATTATATCTTTTTTTCTCTATATAACAGAAACCTTGATATCTCTGGCACCAGCAATATTAATTGATGGTTTGTAGTAATGGCTCAAGAAGTACATAAATGAGGCTAGACCAACCCTAGAGATAGACAGAGTACTGTTAGGCTATATTGTGTTAGGTTGCATTTGAAGGCCAGTTAACATTGATCCTCACTATTTCTCTTTCTCAGTTATTTGAATCATTTTAAAATTAGAATTAAATAAGCATCTTTTTATATTTTTTGAACTTCTCTTTTTTTCTTTTTCTTTTCTCCTAATAAAATTGTAAA